TTTTACTGTGCCAACTACATCTTTGACAAGATTCTTTTAGTTATTCTACTTATTAGAGATATTTGTAAAGCAATGTGTTCTGCATACTAATTAGCATTAAGCAGTATCTTTGACAGAAGCGAGTCACCAGCTATTCTAAGTAAGAAATAAAGAAATTTTGGATGGCATGGAATATTTCAAATATTTCACCGCCGAACAGTCTCGCTCATGATGGTCAAATACACCAATAATTGCTGCTCGTATTTCTATAAACATGGAATTATGTTGTACATGCATCCATCTTGTGTAGCCTTTCCCACTTCGCCGTTTGCCGTGAACGTTTCTTCTTTACAGTAAATAGTCTCCTAAAAAGATGTTTCATGGTTACACCGTCTGTCTCCTAAGAGCGCAAAGAGCAGTACTTGGTTTCTGGGTGGAAACCCATAGCTGGCATGTTTATTCCATCCCGCAGTTGCCAGTAGTTTCTGAATCTATGGGCTTGCTGGCCCTCCAGTGTCTGTTGTCAGTTTTCTTAAGGATTGTCCCGGGAGGAGCATATGTCCCCTTCCTCACCTCCATCCTGTTCCTGATTAGACCTCCTTCCTCTGGTATATATTCCCCTTCATCTCACTCACCATCCTCCTCCTTAAATCCCTGATTAGTCTCTGCCTTCATTTCATTTTAGTCACCATTTCTCCCCAGGAATTGGCTCCCTTTTTGTGTCCCTTCTTTAAGAGTGTCTAGTTGCTTTGCTGACAGACACCTCAGAAAAGGGACAGTAAGTTGAAGCCCTGTATTTTCATAGATAAAGTGTATACGATGAAGATGTTTGACCCCTAGTTCCCTAGGATTGTCTGTCTTCAGACAGAACTGCCCCGCTGGTGCTGTGGACAGGCCTAGGCCTCTGCTGGCCTTCTCTGCAGTACAGCCTCTACCTCCCTTCCCAGCCACCCTCCCCTCGCTTGACCTGCACCTACCAGCCAGCCAGGGCTGCTTCCTGCCTACCAGACTTGCCTCTTGCTCTTATCTTGCTCATGCCATTCCTCCTGCCTGGACACATACCTTCTCCTCCCCATCAAAATCCTGCCCATCTTTCAGTTCCATGTCTTCATGCTGCAGCCTCAAAGAAAGGAGAGGTCACATTTTTCAGATCTCTCCAACAAGAAGGACTCTATGTTGCTTTTTTTGTTTGTTTGTTTTTTGTTTTTTGAGACAGTCTTGCTCTGTTGCCCAGGCTGGAATACAGTGGCACAATCTTGGCTCGCTGCAACCTCTGCCTCCTGGGTTCAAGCAATTCTTGTGCCTCAGCCTCCCAGGTAGGTGGGACTACAGGCAGGCACCACCGTGCCTGGCTTATTTTTTGTATTTTAGTAGAGACAAGGTTTCACCATGTTTCCCAGGCTGGTCTCGAACCCCTGAGCTCAAGCAATCCACCTGCCTCGACCTCCCAGAGTGCTCTGTGTTGCTTTGATTGTACTGCTCTTATTGGACAGATCTGATATGCCTTAAGTTTTAGCTGTTTCTACCTATCTCATTCCCCCACCTATATGGTTGGCTCCTGGAGAACAAGGAATACAGCTCTCATATTTGAATCTGAAAGCACTCAGCACAGCTGTGTTCACACGGAATGTGCTTGGTAAATATTGGCTGATGAGGATTTTTCAACCTCTGATTTGAATCTATTGGTTGTCCTCCAGTTAATGTCTTTTTTTTTTTTTTTTTTTGAGCTGGAGTCTCACTCTGTCACCCAGGCTGGAGTGCAGTGGCATGATCTCAGCTCACTGCAACCTCTGCCTCCTGGGTTCAAGTGATTCTCCTACCTCAGCCTCCCGAGTAGCTGAGATTACAAGCGTGCACTACCACGCCAGCTAACTTTTGTATTTTTAGTAGAAATGGGGTTTTGCCATGTTGGTCAGGCTGGTCCCGAACTCCTAACCTCAAGTGATCCACCCAACTTGGCCTCCCAAAGTGCTGGAATTACAGGTGTGAGCCACCACGCCCGGCTCAGTTAATATCTCTGAATTTTATTCACTTAGTACTCCTGCAGAATAATTACAGAAATTGCACGTGGTTTATATAAAAGCATGAAATCCCCTAACTTGGTTATATTTTTTAAGCAACGTCCAAAGAGAGGCCACTTCCACTTTGGGGTTTACTCTGAGTTCATGCTTTGCCTAATTTTTTCCCAGGTCAGTAGCATAATGTACCTAGGAGAGTTTTGAGGTATCTGCCTTAGCTCTAAAGAGTCTTCCTCAGCTTTCTTACTCAGTCTGCATTGTTGTTCATGTGTATATGTGTGTCTGTGTGTATCTGTGTGTCTGTGTGTATGGGTGTGTGTGTGTGTGTGTGTGAGAACCTTCAATTTTAGAATAATATTACATTCCAAATCAAATTCTGCCTCAAAAGAGCTATTCTTCCACAATTTTCTGCATTTCTGTACAGGTTACAAAATGTCACAATTCAGTAGGGCCAATTATTAGATTTTCATTTAATGGGCAGTTTTAATGTTCTCAGAGAATCTGAATAGTAATAACATTTTAAACCAGTGCATTCCATTTAAAGACTCACAGCCAGTTCTTCTCTCTTTGAGCACACCTAGTTATATTTTTGGGTATCATTTAAATTCAGGCTCCCAATCTGTAGAAAAAAATCAATGAGTTAATGAATAGCTTCATTTTGAAAACTTTTAAAATATTTTATCCTAATTATAAGGCATATCTAGTGACATTAATTTGGCGAAATCCCAAATCATCAGATTGTGCGGAATAGCCCTTACCAAGGAGTAATTTAGAGAATTATCAGTTTAACAAATGTACTGTTTTTAGGACCAGATCATGGCTTTGCTTACTCTGAGAAAAATTTTCTACTGTTAAGGTTTAGGGGCCATGTCAGTGTAGGTCAAACGTCATGCTTTTTATTCACAGTTGTGTTTTTTTAGCGTGTTTTATTTAACCTATTAAATGAAAAGCATTCCTACTACTAATAATCACCCCTGACATTTGTATAGCAAATTCTTATTGGTAAATCACTCCCACATGCGCTGTCCCTGGGCCTGGTGAGCTTCAGGCCATACTCCCTGACCATACAGTGAGTCATTGGGAAAGCCAGCCCTCGAATCGGAGCTGGCCAAGTTCAAGACCAGTGACTTTCCACACATGATTGGTGTTTGTTCATGTAAGTAAACCACCCCAAATTTTGTGGGGAACAAGATGGAGAATACGCCAACAAAGTGATTGCTTTGGAGTCATTTATATTCTACTATGTGGTCCATAGCTTACCGACTGTGTCCGCTGGGACAACAACAGATAATGAACCCTCTAACCAGATCGAGGCTACAGTTTGTGAGAAACCCACAAAGCAGCCATCATCTCAGTCTTTCCTAGAGTGTGGTTCCCTCTGTGTGGTTTTCTATTTTAATCTTTGTCCCACTTTAACTTAATCTATTCTCTGTCCATTCTCCAGCTGAAGACACCTGACGCATTCATAGTCTCAGGGAAGGAGAAATCATTTATAAGCAGTGCTTGATGACTCTTCAGGGCCGCCCAGTAACAGAAGCCTCAGCACCCTTGCTACTCCTTCAATATTTGAATGAGTGACCCAATTAGTAATAGAACCTAGTTCTCCTCGTTCCCAGTCTGCTTTTCTGTTCATGACCTATACGCTGCTCCATCTTCTTCAGATATATCCTGCCTGGATGTCTTCATTCTTCTCACCCTCCCTCCCAGCCAAAAAGTTGTAGGTGTCACACTCTGCAGGGCTGGCCACAGAGTCACCTAAAATTTACTCTTGCAAATCTCTTTTTATTGGACTGGGACAGAAAGAAGTTGGAGTCCTCACATGTATTTTCAGTAAAAGCTCCTGACGGTGGAGTTATGAAAAGCAAAAGCTGCCTGGAAATGCTCATCTTCCTAATGATTTGTTTCTCTGCTAGGCCCACAATGGAACTCGATAACTCTATGTGGTCTAAATGGTATAATACAGCTAAATGAGATCAACTATTATCTCTCTCTCTCTCACACACACACACACACACACACACACACACGTATTAAATGATATAAATCTAGTTAAATGTTTACTCCAGAGGGGGAAGAAAGGTAAAAGGGTAGAATACATGCAGAGGGGTAGGGGTGTGAAACTAAGAGAGGCCTTTCCCTTCCTAAAGAAGCTTTGCTTATGTGCGACACATGCCCTGATAAGGAAAAGTGCATTAGGACAGACTTGCCCTCCCTGATTTTCCACTTGCACTTCACTTTCCACTGCTGTATTCTCTAAGCATGTGAACTGATTTGCTTCTATTGCCGATGGAGACTGGTGCAGGTTCAAGGGATGTTGATTCCATAACATCTCATTGTGCTACATGCAGATTTAATGGCTTTAGGACTGTCAGGATGTGCTCCCTCATTGTTGTTTTTAAATTTGGGGTGGCAGATGTTGAACACCTGTGAAACTGAATAGAGCAAAAGCTGCTGCAGATGTGGGGAGGCCTCAGAATGCTGGGGACACATTCCACTGACATCCTATCTCTCCATTCCTGTTGGGCCTCCAGTTCCTGATATAGGACCCCCATCCTAGCTTTAGGGATCCCCTTTCTGTGTTTCCATGGCCATCGAGGCTGCCCAGAATGGTCCCCACTGCCTAGTGCATTCTCAGCCCCTTAGATTTGAGATGGACCCATGGTCCATATGAAAGACCCCTCCCTCCTTAGTTTCCTTCTCTCTCTGACCACCGCACTGCATGCACCAGCCCAATGGAGCACTGGTATTCTCTTACAGAACTATTGGTTATTACTTAACCCTCTTAGTAATTTAGAATCCAGAGCTTTCCTTCTCAGTTTCAAAACTGAAGGACCTTGCATATGATTTTTTTTACCATTATTGTCAAGATTATTGTCACCATCTTAATTGCCATTTATTTTAAGAGTACTTCAATGCTAACTGCTATATAAGCATTATCTCATTTAGTTTCATTTAAGTGTCAGAGCAAACCTATAAGGGAGGCATTATTGTTTTCTTTTACAGATGAGGAAACTGAGGCTTAGAAAAGTTCAGTAACTTGCTCAAACTCACACAACTCTCAAGTCTCAGATCCAGGATTACAGCAGCTCCAGTCTATCAGCCTTAAGAGCACAGATCTCCTTGTCTGACACCTGATACCAGCTGGGTTCTCATCATGCAGTCAGCCTCCAAGAATATAAGTAATTATACGTAGTCAAAGAAAAAAATCTGTTTAAAATCAGGCTATGCCTTTATCAATACATTTCATTTAAGCTATCAATGATGTTTTCAGTTAATAACTTAAGAATCAAATCTTTATTTTATAGTCTGGAAAATGCTATTCGATCAAAAAACACTGACTGAAAAATCCAGCATTATCTTAGCAGATAACATTCAAGTAAGTAAAAAATTGGCCTACATAACTCATCTGGAAATTAGTATGAGCCAACCTTTTCAGTCTTCCATGATGTGCACTGTGTTCACGGTTCTCTTAGAATTGTCATCGGCGTTGCAGGTTATAAGTTATGTGCATAAAATTAAAAACAAAACCTACCCATCACATTTGAGCCCAAATATTTCCTCTTTTAAGTTGTACTCGTAACTTTGAAATTGGGGTTAAACCACAGGCTTATGTTTCTTATAGCCATTTTTTTTGAAATATTTGGGTTCAATCATACCTGGTAATTTGGTGGGCAGTGATGGGGTAGGCTTGAGAATGTTCAAGAACAAATTGCACCATTATCATTCAGTTCTCCTTAATCTTACCAAAAAAAAAATAAAAAACCACTTATTACTGAATTTTAATACCTTCTGAATCTTCCAGCAAAAAGGAGGAAGATAGCATCTAAAAGAGTAATCTAAACACTGAAAAAGGAGTGGGAGGAGAGAGAGAATCCCAAGTAGTAAACCATATTGACCTACCAATTATGATGATTGTTTTTAAAATCACAGAGTGTTGTGGAAAAAAAATTGTCTTTATGGTGCCAGGTTTGTGGAGTCCTCTTTGTTAAAACCTTAGTAGATGAAGTTATGAAATTGAGACTAGTTTATTCTGGAAGCTTCTTAGTGGGGGATAAGATGGCTGGATGGACTGGGAGGACAGTAAACGGTGGAGGTGGAAACCTTATTCATAAAAATACTGTTTTTCATATGTTAAAAAAAAAAGACATCTCATGGTTTTCATCAAGAGCTGTAGTCAGTGAGCCTGTGTACTTCCTTTTCCCTGCCAGATAGTTGTTCCTGGCTGGAAGACATTTTATGATATTTATTTGATGACACACACCTGCTGGGTGGATGAAAAGCAACTGCTCCTGGGGATGACCTACTTCAAGGGCGCAGTCAGCTTCTGAGGACGTCGGCAGGTTATCCTGAAATCATTTGAGTTCATCTTGATATCACCTGTTGAACATATCTAAGACTGGTGTATTCGCAGACTCGTGGTAGGCACAGTTGCTAACCCCAGGGAAGAGATTTTGGAGTCAGTAACTACTTTGTCAGTGTGTTGAGACTGGGAAGACATGCTGCTTTACCAAACCCACTCTGAGCATATGGAGTGCTGTTCTTGGCACTCGGGATGTGAATCAGCCCAAGGACCTGCCATCTGGGAGCGGACCCTGTAGAAGGGTATCTAGTGGGAACAAAAGTAAGTATGGTCCAGCACAGAAGGGATGGATCTAACGTAGAAGGCATGGCGGATGAGGATCCGAGGTGAGGGGAAAGGGCCATGAAAAAAATTCTGACGAAGTGTTTGCCTGGGAGTTTCCAGGACAGAGACAGATTTCCGGTTGAGATCAGGGAAGAGCAAGGAATATTTGAAACGCATGGAGACACTGTCACCAATTCATCCTTTGAAGCCGACATGTCTTGGCATGTTCATTTCTATTCTACAAACATTTATGGAACACATGCTATTGAGACATGGCAGGCCTTAGGTAGTGAAGATAAAATATAAATAATCCATGTCTCTCTCCCAATATATATACTCTAGTGAGAAAACATACCTAAACAAATTTTATTATAAATTTGAATATAACATACCCATATGTGTACACAAGGAGTTCTTAGCCAAGTTGGAGTTCCTGAAGTTGGTGATACCTGGCCTGAGCTTTGAAGAATAAGTTTGTGTTAGCCAATGAAGAGAGAACAGGGACATGAAGGCATTAAAACAATATGTTGTGCCCAGGAGCTACAGATTGAGCATCCCTAATCTGAAAATCCAAAATTCACAATGCCCCAAAATCCAAGTTTTTGAGCCCCAATATGATGCTCAAAAGGAATACTCACTGGAGCTCTTTGGATTTCTGATTTTTGGATTAGAGATACTCAACTGGCATGTTATTTTGCATATATTCCCATATCCAAAAAAATTAAGAACTCAAAACACTTCTGTTCCCAAGCGTGTTGGATAAGGGATTCCCAACCCGTACAAACTGTTACGTTTTACTTGAGAAAAAAAAAGACAAGGCAGGAACCAGGGTTTGAGCCAGTGGGTACCTCAGAGGGGCTATAGGTTCCCCACCACCCCAAGAGCCCCTTGCCATAAATGCTGCCAGGGCCACCCCAAGCAGACATATAGTCGGAGTAAGGGGACTGTGCTTGCTATGTAAATGCAGGTTCGTAACAAGTGCCCTTGCACCTCTGCTGCCCTAAGCTCCTCTGTATGGAAAATCTAGAGATTCCACCGAAGGGACATTGGCTCAGTGCTGAAAGTTGGAAGCTCTGAGTCATGACGAATTGGAAGCTTACATGTTGATTTACAAGGCGTCTTTGCCCATTACATTTATTTACATGTCTAGAGGTCATGGCCTAAAAGGCTTGGCTCCAAATATGATATGCCCTTCGTATTGTTTATGATATGACTCTCCATTCAGTTCTCTTTTTCTCTTCTCCTGATTATCTGTTGCTGAGTTGCAAATCACCCCAGAAATGCAGTGGCTTCAGCAGCAATCTCAGGATTTTGGCAGGTTTGGAAAATCGGGGGTCGCTTGGCTGGGTGTTCTGGCTCAGGGTCTCTCGTGAGGTTTCTTTAGACAGAGATCAGAGCTGGAACCATGTAGGGGGACAGGAGCCTGGAGTAGCTGGGGACTGACTGGGCACCTCCCTCTTTCTGTCGTCATTAGTCAAAAGGCCCTTCCATGTGATCTCCCTACGTGTGCTGGTGAGGGCAATCTTACGGCATGGCAGCCTCAGGCTTGGCAGCCCAGGGCACCTAAGGTGAGAGCTACAAAAGTGAGAGGCAAAAGCTGTGTGGCCTTTTCTAACCCAGTCTAAGAAGTCACACAGTGCCACATTCTGTGCTGCGTTCTAGTCAGCAAGACAGTCGCAAGGGCTTGCCAAGGTTTAAGGGGATGGGATAGGACACATACCCCACCCACTCTTTGATGCAAGGGTGGCAGGTTGAGGAAGACCAGTGGGGCAGGAAATATTGTTGCAACCAGTTTTGGAAAATACAATCTGCCACATCCCGGAAGAACATTTTCATCCGCTCACGTAATCCTTTAAGTTACATAAAAATTAATTTACTCATTATGGTGTCGCCCACAACCTTCCTTGGTCCCTTCCCACAGCAAAATCCAAGGCTCAGTGCACACACACAAACCACAAAACTCCCGTTGTCTGAATGAGGGTCAGTCACTCAAGTGTGTACTGTCCCCATCAAGATGACAACATTTGATAAGGATATATCCTGTTGCCCCATCTTCTAGGAAGCTGCACTTCCATCCATTGTTAAAGCCAAATATCGCTCAGATCTTTCATGGAGAGGCCCCTTTGAAACTAACCCCAGCAAACTAGAGACTCAGTGAATGATTTCAAATCTCTGTTTGCTCTGCACCTGGGAGATTGATGGTACTCTCATAACAATTTGGTGAGTGGCACTTAGTGGAGTACTGAATGTTCCAGAAAGTGAAAAAAAGAGAAAATAAAAGAAAGGCCCAGACTTTGGGCTCAAGGAACTTTAAAAACTGAAGCATTACCGTGTTCATGGTAAGAAATCTTCTGATTTCAACAATTGGTGTAAATTTTACATTTTTTAGTAAGCACTATTTCAAGTGTGCTGTCCTTAATGAGGACTTTAATTCTTGTTTTTGCACATATGTAGAAAACAGAAGTTGAGTTCTTCAAACATTTGTTATCAAAAATATATGATATATAAGCACTGAATTGGAAGATTGTTTTCCCCCTTGGATAATCTAGAAAAGAATATAGCTCTATTCTGAAATCCCTTCCCGTTCAAGAGTTATCCAAGCAAATAGTGTTGACCAAGGTGTTGAATGCACCAGTAATAATAATGCTACCCTTTCATAAAGCTAAGTAATCAGGAATAATGCTGAAAATAAGAAGACAGTCATTTATTTACTCTATTTGGCATTGTTAATACTAATAATGTATTTCAACACAGTAAAATTGCTAGATAATGCTTTTGTGACTTTTATGCAGGTTATTGTTATTTAAATGAACAGTCGACTGCACTGTAATGAAGAAATGCATGCTTTTCCCAACTCAGTTATCAACCAGAATTCTAGGAAAATGAGAATTTGTGTCTGCTTTCATTCACAGAGCAAACTGGAGGTCACTGTTTTCAATATGAACCTTTTTTTAGCTTTTCAACAGTGAATAATTAGGAGCTGCTGCTTCTGAAATTACCTGTATTCACTGTAGAGAAGGAAAGACTTTTATCTTTCACGATGAAATACATTTTCTCATTCAAACTTTGTCATTCTTTTTTTAAATGGCATTTTACACCACTGAGTCGATCTTCGGTAGTAAAATAAAAGAAATATATTTTGTGAGCTGCAATAGCCTTGTTTATTCAATTTTACTTCCTTAAATTTCATCTCCTCCTTGAAAAATGATCCAAATGCAAAAATGAGTTTAAAGCAGTTGAATGTACAAAGCAATTATCTGCATGAAATGCTATTATACAAACATACATGTTCCTTGCACTTTGATTAAATGGAATTGATTCTTGATCCTTATCGATTATGTGCTTCTATTGTTTTTTAACAGCTTTATTGAGATATAATTTATATGTTATATAATGCACCCATTTAAAGTGTACAATTCAGTAGCTCTTAGTATATTCGCTACATTGTGCAACCATCACCACAATCAATTGTAGAACTTTTTTTTTTTTTTTTTTTTGAGGCAGAGTTTTGCTCTTATTGCCCAGGCTGGAGTGCAATGGTGCGATCTCGGCTCACAGCAACCTCCGCCTCCCAGGTTCAAGTGATTCTCCTGCCTCAGCTTCCTGCGTAGCTGGGATCACAGGCATGCGCCACCACGCCCCGCTAATTTTGTATTTTTAGTAGAGACGGGGTTTCTCCATGTTGGTCAGGCTGGTCTCAAACTCCCGACCTCAGGTGATCTGCCTGCCTCGGCCTCCCAGAGTGCTGGGATTACAGGCGTGAGCCCCTGCACCCAGCCCAATTGTAGAACATTTTTATCACCCCAAAAAGAAATCTGGTTTCGATTAATAGTCACTCCCCCTTTCCTGCCAGCCCCTGACAACCGCTAGTATACTTTCTGTCTCTATAGATTTGCCTATTTAGGTATTTCATATAAATGGAATCATACTATATGTGGTATTTTGTGTCTGGCTTCTTTCACTTAGCGTAATGTTTCAAATCTTCTTATTGACAAATCATATGCCATTGTATGGATACATAAATTTTATTTGTCTGCTTATCAATTGATGAGCATTTGGGTTGTTTCTACTTTTTGAATATTGTGAACAATGCTGTCATGGACATTTATGTACAAGTTTTTGTGTGAACATACATTTTCATTTCTCCTTGCTGCCTACTTAGGAGTAGAATTGTTGGGTCATGTGATAACTCTGCATAGCTTTTGAAAAACTGCCGAACTATTTTCTAAAGTGGCTGCACTGTTTCCCAGTCCCACCAGCAAAGAATAAGTGTTCCAGTTTCTTCACATCTTCACCAGCACTTGCTTTTGTCTGTCTTTTTTATTACAGTTTTTCAAGTGGGAGTGAGGAACTATCTCATGGTGGCTTTGATTTGTATTTCCCTAATGCCTAGATGTTGAACGTTTTTTCATGTGCTTATTGGCCATTTGTATTTCTTCTTTGGAGAAATGTCTGATTCTACTGAGTTTTTAAAACTTCTTTTGCCTCACCTCAGGCATGTGGTTAGCAGAACTGTTAGAAACAAATATATCTTCCTAAAGGGAGGGATTTTCAAACAAATTTATAAATCGAAGATGTTCTTTTTACCATGGTAGTATTTTAGATTATGCAACAACTGAATTGTTCTCAGGAAGCAATCTGCTTCTAAAACTTTGTTTTCCATTTGGCTAGCAATACGGATATTAAGTGATCCCAGAAGCATACCTAGAAAGATCAGCTTGTCTAATTAACTCATTTTACCAATTAGGAAAGCAAGGGCCTGAGAGGTGAAATATGTGGGTCACATGGAGAATTAATGATAGAGTTGGAATTGTATCCAGGTGAACTACAGGTATCTGAAATTCTGTGTTTATTTTAGAGAGAATATAGCACTTTGCCACTAGGTTCTCAACTGATTTTAAAAAAAAAAATGGTGAAAATGCCCTGCAATTTACTCAGTGACATTTATTGTTGAGTGTTGAACACATATTATTTTATTTTATCCTCATAGAAGCATATGTAAGATTGATACTTTTATTTTCTCCTTTTATGTGTGGGGAAGCTGAGGTTAGCTCACTTTTTCAATGGCACCTGCATAGTGAGTGGCAGATTTTCTGATTCCGAATCTGCTGTTCTGTGTTTCTTCTGATCTGTCTGATGAATGAAAGACAGCATCAGCATATTGCTTCCTGTGCCATCTTCCAACTTCTCACTGTCACTGAAACAAATAACCGATAGGTGGCATCAAGGAGCACTCACTTGCCATTGCCATAATTAACAGTTTATTTAGCAACACTACTATACCAACTTCAGAAGTAGAATATATGGTTCTGTGGACAGAAGAATTGTTCAAATGTAAGAATATTGTACCGTAAGGGACTAATAACAGAACAACTTACATTCACAGGGTACTTTTCAGTTACAAAGCATTTGACTTACACTTTTAATTTGATGCTCACAATTTGGCAAGCTTTTCATTGTCTTTGTTTTTATGTACTTTTAATACTCATGATGAAACGAAGGCCTGAAGGGCTTTAGTCACTACAATTCTAAAGTCTGAGGCAGAGCTGCTTCTCAAAACAAGTCTCTTGGCTCCTGTGTAGTCCTGTGTATTCCCTCCAGTGTACCATCCTCTGCCATAATGATGTGCTGTTGGGCACTCATTTGAAAGAAGAGGAGACTTTATACCATTATTTCAGGCAACAACAGAGCTATGAACAAGTAGAAGTTATAGGGAGGCTAATTTTGAACCCATATAAAGAAGAATTGATCTGTCCAACAATGAAATGTGTTGTCTTATGAAGGAGTGAGGTCTCTTGTCATTGAACTGTTCAAGCTAGGGCTGACTGACCATCTGGAAGGATCTTGCAGAAGGCATTTCTGCATTGGGGGAGGTGGGGAGTGTGTTTGTGGTGCTGAGAGATGTTAGATGGCACCTAAGAGCCCTTTCAACTATGAGATTGTGAATCTTTGTTCTTAGAGAGTAAGCTGGTTTAAGGGGTCCTCTGTATCCCTATTGAGGAAAGAGAGTTTAGCTCTGGTGTACTCTTATCCTGCAAAGTTAAGGGTACAGGGTTTTCTCTTTAAAAGAAAGTAACCAAATTTATCAACCTGGATTACTGGTTTGTAAAAGGTTATAACAGCTGTTCCCATCTATGTTAACAGATGCTGTACACAACAAGGGATCTATATTCAGATAAGATTTGACTATCGCAAGGACAGAAAACCAAACACCACATGTTCTCACTCATAGGTGGGAATTGAACAATGAGAACACTTGGACACAGGGTGGGGAACATCACACACCGGGGCCTGTCATGGGGTGGGGGGAGGGGGAAGGGATAGCATTAGGAGAAATACCTAATGGAAATGAGGAGTTAATGGGTGCAGCACACCAACATGGCACATGTATACATATGTAACAAACCTGCACGTTGTGCACATGGACCCTAGAACTTAAAGTATAATAATACAAAAAATAAAAAATTTTTAAAAAGATTTGATATGAGCCTGCAACGTGCTGTTGTTCTTTGTGACTATCCAAGAGAAAGAGAAAAGAAGAAGCAATTCTAAATTTGTTTTTTAGTTTTGTAAAGTGTTTCAGAGGCCAGTCGCTCTCAGCCCTTGTTGCTCATGAGAATCACCTGGGGAGCTTTTTAAAAATCAGATGCCCAGGCCCCACCACAGAACAAATTAATCATATTCTCTAGTTCCCAGATACTGGTGGGTTCCCAGTATCTTAACAGCTGTCCCGGTGATGCTTACGTGAAACCAGAGTTAAGAAGAGCTCATCTAATCAGTCTAGTCTGAGCATGAATCCAGGCAAAATCTGGACATTTGCTTTTGTAATTCAGCTTCTTGTCTAGCATTCCTATTATCAATTCAAAGCCAGTGCTCTTTAGTACAATAAGGGGCAGTGTCTCACAGTGGTTCACACTGCTGCTCTTGAGCCAGACAGCCTGGCTTTGTCCACTTACTAGCTTTGTGACGTCAGGAAAGTTATTTTCATCACTCTGTGCCTCAAGTTCTTTATTTGCAAATCAAGAGAATAATAGTAGTTACAAAGTAAATGCTAAAGTTAATAAAGACCCAAAAGAAAATTAAAACTCTACATATCATGATATTATAATTACAACCATCATCATCGTCCTCCTCATCACCATTATTGTTTTGTTGTTGGTAGCAGTGGTATCCTGCTAGGTGCTAGAAGCTAGGAACCTATTGAAAAAGTGCTCTTCCCTGTACAGTACTATACCTGGCTTTACTTCAAAACTAAGAACTCTTAGCAACATTAGCAACATACTTCCTCAGCTCTAGAACTTCCCGATGAAGTGGAATGTTTTACATCGGACTTTTTGCAAGAAGCTCAGGCCTGAACCCGGTAACCTGTGGTTCCATCCAGCACTTGATTCTACATTAAGATCAGGCCACAGCTCTGCAAGGTGAGGGCCCAGACTGAAGGCTCAGGCTGGGTTTCTGTTTAGTAACTGGGAAAGGCATGTACTGCATGTGGCAGGCTGACCTCCTGAATCTTCAGGACAATCTCAATTTCGGATGGCCCACCCTGCTGATCAAATCTGTGGTTCGGAAAGGATGGTTACTGTTAAGCAGGAGGCAAGGGCTCCAAATGCCAGTGTCCTAATTGTGTAAAAAGTAAATATAATTTGAGTATGTGGGATAGCCTCAGAGAAAAATCAAAGAACACAATTAAGCATAGTTTCTATTTAGTTTTCAGTTGATGAAGGAATAATTTGAAGTTGCACTAGTCACTGAGAGTACAGTAGCAATAGTCCTCCATTCTCTGGGATTCAGGGCAGGCGCAGACATTATGTGCATATTACAGGTTTTCTAGCACACAGATTCTATCAAGATAGCCTCTAACTGCGATTGTGGAAACTGGTGGAATATTCCTAGCAGGAGCTCAAAGGATTGTAAAGCTGAATAACATCTTTGTCTCAAGAACTTATATGAGAAACTTTTTCCCCTTTTTCTCCTACAGGCATTTAGTGGTTCACCATTGCAGACACTGCATATCTTTGTATCCCACACAGTCCCCATGTTAATAGTTGTTTGCTAGTTGTGGTCATTTAATTGAAAAAAGCTGGCACGGAGATATTACAGGTCCCAATAGGTCATTTCTGTATCAAGTATGGTGTTATTGCCTTTAACCAAGCCCTGTCCAAGGCCAAATTTATTACATGCATTAATAACATATAAGAGGATAGACAGGGAGCTGAAGAAAAGATGTGTGTGGCCTTTAACTATGCCAGTCATCTATAGTTCAGAGGGTTGCTTACCGTGGCATATTGCCAGCTGTGCATTATAGAGTTCCAGATGGCATGGTGCTATTGG